AGAAATCTTTTTAAACATTAAAAATGTCAGTTTTACTGTCACTTTTGATCAATTTAATAAGTCCTTACTGAACAAAATTATATAAAAAAAAAAAAAAAAAAAGATTTCTTTCCAGTAATCATGAGGGAACTGAAGTCGTGTACATTCATTGGTCAAAATGTGTGGGAACCCTGTATCTAGCTTCCTGGCTTGTCAGGAAGTTTCTCTACATTAGGCACATTGTGGTGCAGAACTGTTGGAAATGGCAGTGGCAATAAAAACTAATTAGTCTGCAGATATCGTGTAGGCTGAGACTTTCTCACTATTTCACTTTAGAGAAAGTGAGATTAACTGAGATTTGATGTGCCGTACATTGAGAGCACGCCTGCTTCCACCACACCCCTCACGAGGCATGCAGAAGAACACAGAAATAAATGTGGCGCTGCAGTTCTAGCCCTGTTGCTAAGAGTAGGACGCCTTCAATCATCTCTCGGTATGGTGTGGGAATGCAATCAGTGGCATAGCAGTACCCAGTCACCTGAGATGTACTAAATAAAGCGACAGCCTTTGAACCACCGCTCTTCTTACATGTAGTGTCATAAAGACACACACTGTGCAATGTACACTTTAAAACAAGGTTGTATTTTTAGACCGTGAATAACACTTAATGTTCTCACGTTACTGTTATCACTAATTATGAAGACTTTGCTTTGACTGCGAGGCTGCGATTGTAGATAAGTGTTGAGTAACCCTGGTGTTTTATTTGCAATGTTTCGTCTCCGACTCCCAATTAAAATAAAAATGAATGCAGGCCTACCATGTAAATGTAGCTTATTTAGACAGATCGACCGATGAATGTCTTTGCCACCCGTACAATGCATAAATAAACAGCTCAACCACTGGCATTTTGGCAAGCGTGTGACTAAATAATATTACCGCACTAGCTTTTTGGGCTGACAATATGTGTTTTAAGCAGCCCTGCCTGCTCTGTCCGAGGAATTTAATCTATGGCATATGCGATCCACAGAGAGAGATTGAAGACACGTTTCGGTTTCTGAGGCTTTGAAGCCGTTTCCATGCCGTTTCCATAAAACTTGCTTCAGAGCTCTGGTAACGCTCATTGAAATGGGCGACCTTTGACCCTAGCCCTCTATCTACCCTATATCTGTCTCTCTCTAAACATTGCGTCGAAGAACTGACCGCTCCGGGCACACACAAGTCAATCCATAATGGTTGATGTGACCTGATTTGAATTGCATTGATGGTAAGAACTAATCCATTACACCTAAGACACTCCCGCTGTTGTTCATAAACTGAACTTGTCAATATCTGTGTGCAGAGGAGACGGTCTGTTCATACTGCAAATTTGATTGCCAAGAATGAAGAGTTTTCTATACACTTGTTTAGGGATGCACCGATATGAAAATTTTGGCCGATACCGATAACCGATTATACTTTATTTTTGAAAGCTGATAACCGATATGTTGGCCGATAAATCTATATCCAAGTTATTATATACTTTGAGAGCCTGATTACAAAAAAGGTCTCATCATTAAAAGCCACAACATAAGCAGCCTAGTTTGAACGGTGTACGTTTTAAAAATAATTTTACTCTCCCATTACCAAATTTAGTCATAAAGTCTTACAAATAAATAAAATAATGCATAAATAATGCAAACAAGTCACTGGACATCATTACACGTGTAAAGAATCAAAATGAATGTAACCAAACGCATTCTATATGAGATAAATCAGATATACATCAAATAAACACAATATTACAACGTACAATTGCACAAAAGGCTGAAAACGAACAGCGCGCATCTGAAGTGTCTCTGAAGGAAATAATGCATTATTTATCGGCTTTAAGATATCGGCCAAATTTTCTTATCAGGCTGATACCGATAACAGAAAAAATGAGCATTTCTTGGCCGATACCGATATGGTGGCCGATATATCGTGCATCCCTACACTTGTTGTAATCTGTTTATTAGGAAATTAGTTCTAACCCTCTGCTTTCTGGTCATCTTCAGTTGCAGTAATTTGTTGTGAAATCTTAAAATGTGCTTCAGCAGCCATGTGCCCCTGTAGCTTGGCCATAAATCCAATAATAACGGCTGCTTGACCTTTCTCCAGCAAAGCCTCTCTGAACGTGTTGCAATTTTGCCAGAGGGATGGGAGAAGCGCACATTCCAGCCTCATTTCGCTCCATTCATTTGCAGCAGAAGCCGCTCTCGCTTCTCGTTTCAGCAGCTAGCATTTAGCGTGAACACATCGTTTACGCCGCACTCTTTGATTTAGTGGTTACTCATCTCTTCAGGGTGTTCTTATGAGTCATTCCAGCACCACCTAACCTCTCGCCAAAGTGCCAAGCCTGCATGACACAGCCTCTTGTGTTCTGAGTAATTGCGTGCTTTTAAGATGCGGCCGTCCAAAAACAAACATTTCATTTGCCTGTCCTCATGCAGAGTCGCTCTCGGATCTGTGTGCACCAGGGGCCAGGGTGGTACGGGCCTGCCAGTTCACTCCATAAAAGCAGCAACAGGCTTCGTATGCGCCTCGGGTCCTGCTGGTTTTAAATGCGAGCGTGCCCCACCCACAATACATTGCAAGTCTCACAATGGAGGTTCTGAGTGAAGGATGTGATCCACCCCTTTTGAATGTATCTTCTACAACCAGGAATGATGAATGCACATGCATGACCCTATATATCTTCCAGAGGATTATGCTCGCAACATTTCATCCTCCCCTTTGAATGTCGAGCATTTCTATCTTTAGAGGGCTGTTTGTTCTTAGCCCTGACAACCCTTTTGTCTTTCATTTAAAGCTGATTTTTTTAAAGGAGGGATAATGTTATGTGTCAGCACTATTTTTGTGTGCCTTTGTGCTTTTGTTTATGGCTGTTTGTAGTGTTTGAGGTTATGAATATGCATTTGTGCGTCTTTGCCCGTGGTGAAATCTTAGATGAAATTCATGACTTTGCATGTGTGAATGGCCGCTCCCCAGTTACCAGATGTCAGGTTTGAGAAATATTTCTCTCCCTTTGCTTTGGGTGGTAATAAGTCAATTTTATGATTGGGCTGAGGTGAGCTGTTGCTCCGGCTATGAAGCAGATTCATGAACTGATAAGATAATAAATCGTCAAATCTGTGTATTTGTAAGTGTGCATAATTTGGCTATGAATAATGACACTGAAAGATTTTTGCTCAGCTGGAAAAAGGTTTTGTCGACCGATGTACAGTCAATGACTCAAGTGTCACTGTCATAAACTATTTTCAAAGGTTATTGTACTAACGTCCATTCTGCCTGATGATAGGTAGATGCAGATGCTGCATTAAATACAGGAGATAGTACTGACAGTTTGGGCCACTCCCGTAGTCTCTCGAATAACAGGACTTTATATGTCTGTACTCTCTCTCTCTTTTACAGGTTTTCCTCACTTGCCAAGCAGTTTGTACCCCAGCCCTTACATTCCCTTGGGCCACCTTGAGCATCCACAGCTCAGCCAACATGCACTCTTTGACTCACAAAAAGGTCTGTATATGTCTGTGAAATAACATGTTTAACCATTATCACTGTGATTTATGCGTGTATATGACTACCATATAGTGGTTCAATGGATCACAAATCTCACGGTCCGGATCACATTACGGTTGTTGACCCACGGATCGGATAATTTTTCGGATCAGCAAGAAAAATAAAAATATTTCAATTTAACTTGCTTTCCATTTATTACTTAAAGCGAAGTACTTCTTTGATACCACAGCAAATACTACTAGATTAACTAAGAAAGTTTAAACCTGATTAAAGAGACAAGAGAACAGCCAGTAAAAATAAGAACAAATACACAAATTACAAGCATAGATAAATACAGCAGAATATGTTACAATTAAAATAAGGTTGGTAGTATTCAAATACAGAAATGTAATAATTAGGGAAAATAACACTGCATAGTGTTCACTGCATTAATTAAATATAGATTTTTATCACAGCTCTTTTGTTGTTTGATGATCATTAATGACAGCAGCAGTATTTATAGGC